TTTGTCTTTTTCACTGATATCGAAAAAATGTACCGACAAATTTTAATTCACCCAGAAGATAGAAACTTCCAAAGAATTCTGTGGATGGAACAATTAACTAAAATCATTATCATTTTTGCTCTCATAACCGTTACTTATGGACTAACTAGTGCACCTTTTCTAGCTTTGCGTTCATTTATTCAGCTAATACATGATGAAGGACATCGTTTTCCACTAGCTCTTCCTACAGTAAAAAAGGGTCGTTATATGGACGATTTCTTCGGAGGCGCCGACACGATCCAAGAAGCCAAGTCGGTTGTCCAACAAGTTGACCAGCTCTGTATGGCGGGGGGTTTTCCACTAAGGAAATGGATTAGTAATAATTCCGCAATTCTTGAATTTATTCCATTTGAACACCGCATAAATGTACATTCGATTCAAATTGATGAATCTACTATGGTTTATGCTCTTGGATTGTGCTGGCAACCCTCTATCGATCAATTCCACTTTACATTAAATTTGACTACTCCTCCTACTATTACTAAGAGAACAATTTTATCGACAATAGCTAAATTGTTTGATCCTTTAGGGCTTCTCTCACCTGTTACAATTCAAGCTAAAATATTTATTCAAAAACTATGGGCAAATGGACTCGGATGGGATGAGGAACTCCCTTCCTCTCTCTCTCTGACAAATGGATGAATTTTATTCGACAACTACAAGAAATGCCAAAATTCACATTTCCAAGATGGCTTGGATTTCAAATCAAGGATGAACTCGAAATTCACGGATTCTGTGACGCCTCATCAAAAGCTATGGCAGCCGTCGTTTATATACGATCTGTATCTCAAAAGGGACTTGTAACTATTAGATTGGTGGCATCAAAAACTAAAGTTGCTCCCTTGAAGAAGCTGACAATACCAAGACTTGAATTATCTGCAGCCGTTTTGCTTGTTAAGCTAATGGCTCAAATTTTATCAGTACTCGAACGACTTGATCTACCTATCTTTGGTTGGATTGACTCTGAGGTAGCTCGAACATGGATTTCAAACCATCCTTCCCGATGGAAGGAATTTATTCAAAATAGAGTATGTTTCATACAAGAAACCCTACCACAAGTTAAATGAAAATTGATTCCTGGTATTCAAAATCCAGCAGATCTTGCTACACGAGGCTTATCACCTTCTCAATTATTAGAACGTACAGACTGGTGGACGGGACCACCGTGGCTACAGCAAGATGCTTCTAACTGGCCTCTAACATCTAAAGTCATTCCTATTGAAAGTGATCTCGAAGAACGGTTAATCAAAGTTTCCGTCGGTGTTAGTACTACATCAGAAAATACTTGGTCTCTTCTTACTCGTTATTCTAGCCTGACTAGATTATTGCGCATTACTGCATGGTGTCTTAGAATAGTAGCGAGATTCCGCAAATCATTCCATTTAACCATAACCGATCCGATAACTACTCAAGAAATTGAAAAAGCCAAACTCTATTGGATTTCGTTAGTTCAAAAATCATCCTTTCGTAAGGAACTTAATCTCATATTTAATGTACAAACCTTGCACAAATCAGATTCTCTTTTACGTTTAACCCCTTTTTTTAGATAATCAAGGTCTACTCAGAGTCGGAGGTCGTCTCAAATTCTCTCTTTTATCGGCCGACGAAAAACATCCTATAATTTTACCTAAGAGTTCACCTCTTTCTTCTCTGATAATAGCAGATGCTCATTCGCGCACCATGCATGGAGGAACTCAACTTACATTAGCAACTATTCGAAATGAATATTGGATTATAGGAGGGCGGGCTCCAGTAAGATCATTCATTCTCAATTGCGTTAAGTGCGCTCGGTATAGACAACGACGAGCTCAACAATTAATGGGTCAACTCCCAGTAGAGAGAATTACCCCTTCTCGAGCCTTTTTACATTCCGGAATTGACTACGCTGGTCCTATTCCACTAAAAACTTGGAGAGGAAAAAACGCTCGTACCTATAAAGGTTATATAGCACTATTTGTGTGTGAAGCTACATCTGCTGTTCATATTGAACTAGTAACGGATTACACTACGGAGGCTTTTATCGCTGCCTATAAAAGATTCACCTCGAGAAGAGGAATATGTGCAACTCTGAGAAGTGACTGCGGAACAAATTTCAAAGGAGCAGATGCCGAATTACAACGATTATTTCAATCCTCGTCAAGAGAATGTAATGAGTTAGCAACTCTGCTTGCAAATGATGGTACGCAATGGCTTTTCAATCCACCTTCTGCACCTCACTTCGGAGGTAAGTGGGAGGCTGGAGTCAAGTCTGTGAAATATCATCTGAAACGAGTTCTAGGTGAATCTGTACTAACCTATGAAGACATGAACACTTTATTAATTCAAATTGAAGCTATCCTTAACTCTAGACCGTTAAGTCCTTTAACTGATGACTCCGATGATCTCACTGCATTGACGCCAGGTCATTTTTTGGTAGGTGACTCACTCTCGATAGTACCTGAGCCTTCGCTCGAAAATGTTAAAATTTCTCAACTATCTCGATGGAAACGTACTCGTCAAATGTTAGACTGCTTTTGGTCAAGATGGTCTAAGGAATGCCTTCAACGTTACCTATCTATATATAAATGGAACCAAACTTCCTCGTCTATAAAGGAAGGTTCTCTAGTTCTGGTCTTAGACGAGAGATATCCTCCATCCAAATGGCCTCTCGGCAGAATCACCAAAACCTATCCAGGCCAGGATGGCCTAATACGAGTTGTTTCTGTTCGTACACAGAATTCAGTTTTAAAACGTCCAATAGTCAAAGTCTGTCCACTTCCTATCCTCCCAAATGAGTCACAAAATTAGTTCGCTAACTATAGTTAACGAAGGCGGGGGGAAATGTTTAGAAACTAGTGTTTTTCAGCATTGAGGGTAATGACGGGCAAAGCAGCTTAGGGTAAAACAGAGCCATGAGCAGAAAGCTATCCATATAGTTTAATTTACTTGTTATCGACATCCCGTAAGCGCGCTATCTATCGAGCAGCGTTTTGATGTAGTCGCGCTGCTAGACATCCGTCTAAAACGCATGTGTCGTGTTTCTTTCTAAATTCGTGCGCAACGCTAACGCGCAGGCGTTCCCGGACTTTACCGCGCAAACAACGACGTTCTCGTCGTCACTTCTTTTCGGACGCTCAACGAGTGAGCATATATCATTTTTGCTTAAATATTGCGTGGATACGCTACTTCTATATATTGGTAGAATCATTAATATCCCGGTTTCTGAGGAAGCAGAGAGCTGTTATATACAGCTACATTACGGATTGGAAAAGACGAAACTTCGTCTCTGGACTTTCTGATTGCCGAGAAGGAAAACGAGAAAATTCCGAAAATAAAGACGAGGGCGGCCATTAATCCCGAGATATATCGTTGGAAGGACGAGGATCCCTTGCATAGTCTTTATACTTTATAAGTATACTCAGATGAGAGAATTCCAGTTATCCTATTCTGGAACAAGCCTAATTTTGGCCAATTTCAAGGTAACCTTATCAGTTATTTGGTAAAACCGTTCTTGGGTTAACATTAAATTCAGGCTTTACATAGCCTAATCAGAGGATATTGGTTACAGAGAATATCGTGAGATTTTCACGATAGCATATCGTGGCGCGCATAAAGTAATACAATCGAAAGGCCTTTTCTCGAGAGCTCAGTTCCTTCGTGAACCTTCCAGAAGACGAATAGTATAAGGCTATTCGTGCTTCTATCTGTAATAACGCATAACGTGTTCGGCGCGGGACAACGGAATATCTGAAGCGTGAAACATCGCGTGATTTGAGCGTGATATATCGTGTTAAATAAGTACGACATTGCGTATCCTAAACATAATAAATAGCGAGTAATAAGCTGGACTAAAGTCAATATAGATATTATTATCTTTTATACGAATAGTAAATATGGTAGAAATTCTTTGTTCAAGAAACTATATTCCTTTATTTGTATTAACCGCAATTATTATTATTCTATTTCTTGCGTATTTTCTCTGTATATATTTGCTAACAATTTGCGATATTAGTTTGTATTTAACATATATAAGTTTATTCAGGTCAATAATGAGTGAAGTACAATACACGATTATAACATAATCATTCATTTCAAAAAATTATATTCTTATTCGACTTTCTCTGCTGAAACATTATTTGAACTTAGTAGTTTGATTAATAAAAGAAAGATTAAAGATCTTTTAAAGAATAACAAGAAAACTTCAATCATTAATGACAAACATTCAATATAATCATTTACTACATTATTCTTGTATGATTTACGTTCTTTGCATACGTTAATGATTTTTCAGTATATTGAACATTCCTTTGATTTTGTTTAAAAATACTCTGACATTGTCTAATTGAAATTAACGTTATTTGCTGCATTCTTGCGCAACCGAATGTAATATATTGATATCCCTCTATATAAAATTATAATCGATTTATTTCATAAACAATAAAGGCATCGTTCTTTCCTTCCTTTCTAATAAAAGATTTGATACTCAGTTCCTAAACATAATTTGGTCCTTCGAGCCGGATTGAAAAGAACCGGATGATATAAAATTAAAAGATTTATGAGTTATTTTCTAGTTTTACTATTTAAAAGTTCAAATAGCGCATACAGTCAGTCGAAGAAAGAACGATGCTTTGAGTAAAATGTGATTATTTTGTAAAGTGTCGTTTACGGGATAAAGGTCGTTCCATTTTCATTAGGCTCTCATAATGACTGGAATCATGAGGTTCAGTCACATTCAGAACAGATTAGAGCAGCAGCTCACTCTCGCTATAACGTTATCCGATTCTTACGACAATTTGGTACAAGATACTTCTTCAAGTATCTCTGCTCAACAAGTACGCTCTGCTCTGTCATCCCTCAAAGAAGCTTGGGAAAAGTTTAATATTATTCATGATGCTATTAATATAGCAATCGCTGGGCTTGATTCTATCGATAAAGATTTAGTTCACGAGCACATTTATTTTAGAGATGACGTGTTTTTATCTACAAAAGAAAAATATCTTGATAATATTGAAAAGATAATTTCTTTATTAGAATTAAATCGAGACCCTATTGTTCCTACAACTTCTGTTCAGTCAGCTCAATCTGTCCAATCTAATCAATCCACTCAATCAGCTCAATCTGTTCAATTGGATTCTCAGCCGTCTACTAGTTATGCAAACATGCATTATGCTAGGTTACCGAAAATTAATCTTCCCGAATTCGATGGATCTCCGCAAAACTGGTTACATTTTAAAGATATGTTTCACTCTATGGTGGGGGGAAAATCTCACATATCAGCTGTAGAAAAATTACAATATTTGAAATCGAGTCTTATTGGTACGGCAGCACTATTCCTTAAGAATACTAGTATTACAGAGGACAATTTTCAAAAATCATGGGACTCTTTGATTAAATTTTATGAGAATAAGAGATTATTAGTTAATGATTCAATTAAATCTTTGCTATCTCTCAAAAGAATGAATAAGAATTCAGCTAGCGAACTCGAACAACTATATTCATCAATTACTCAAATTCATAGAACTTTAGAATCATTGGGACGTCCTGTTGAACACTGGGACGATTTCATCGTTTTTATAACATCTCAAAGAATGGATGATGAGTCTTTAAAGGCTTGGGAGCAATCATTGGGATCTTCCAAGGAACCTCCTACCTGGGAAGAGTTTAGTGAATTTTTACTCTCTCGAGTACTCTCTCTTCAAGCTTTTGAAAAATCCCGTTACGGGAAAATCTTGAATCAAACGAAGACACAACCTACCTCCGCTAAGGTTTTTCATCAAGAGAAGTCAAAGGAAACTTCTTCGAATTTTAAATACAGTTGTGCTATATGTAAACAAAAGCACTTAACATCTGCTTGCTCTCAATATACTAACAAAACTGTTCAACAGAGGTTAACTATAATATCAAAAAACAAACTTTGTTATAACTGTCTTGGGCGTCATAAAGTTGCAGACTGTAGAATAACTAAGCGTTGTTTGAAATGCGGTAAAAAGCATCATACCACTATTCATGTGAATCAATCATCTGTTAGTAAAGAGACTACCACACCTAAAGCTGAGACTTCAACAAATAAGGTTTCTGAAGCTAAAGTTTTACTTTCCTCTATAGAAAATCCTGCTACAGTTCCACAAATTTTGTTAGCTACGGCACAGGTAGTTATAGTATCGGAAGATGGACTTACCACTAAAGTAAGAGCTCTGATTGACCAGGGATCCGAGATTTCTTTGATAACAAATCGAATTGTTCAACGTCTTCGTCTCCGACGAACTCCTTCGGCAATATCTTTGATAGGTATAGGAGCTCAACAGTGTAATAAAACTCAGGGTATAACTTCTTTTACTCTTAAACCCCATTTTGATTCCAATAAAGAATATATGGTATCAGCTTATATTCTTCCAAAATTAACTTCAAATATTCCGGCTACTTCAATTGATCGTTCATTATGGCCACAATTTGATCATCTAGAGTTAGCAGACCCAGAGTTTAATAAGCCTGGACCGATTAATCTCATATTAGGAGCTGATGTGTATTGCCAGATCATAGAAAGGGGAATTGTTAAGGGAACTATTGAATCACCAATCGCTCAACGTACAGCTTTAGGTTGGATTGTCTCTGGCCCAACGGGTTCAACTGTCCCAAGCACCGAAGTGCAAGGCTATCATGTCCAGGTAGAGGAAGACCTTTATAATTTACTAAAACGTTTCTGGGAAACTGAAGAAATTCCCAATTCTAAAATTTTAAAATTATCCGCTGAAGAGCAAGAATGCGAAGAGCATTTTAAGGCTACGCATAGCCGAGATTCGAACGGAAGATATATAGTTCGACTTCCATTTAAATCATCACCAAACAAACTTGGAAATTCAAAAATAAGAGCCACCAGAGTACTTAACAGTTTATGTAATCGATTTGCTGCAAATCCGGACTATGCTAATACGTATAACAATTTCATTCAGGAATACAAGGACTTACATCATATGGAAAGAGTATCAGACTCGCAACCTGAACCAGAATTAGTTTATTATCTACCGCATCACGGAGTTTGGCGAGAACATAGCCTTACTAGCAAGCTACGGGTCGTATTTAATGGTTCAAGTCCTACCACTACAGGAATTTCACTTAATCAATTACTGCATTCCGGCTCAAACTTACAATTGAATTTATTTGATGTCCTTATATGGTTTCGGTTATTTCGTTTTGTCTTTTTCACTGATATCGAAAAAATGTACCGACAAATTTTAATTCACCCAGAAGATAGAAACTTCCAAAGAATTCTGTGGATGGAACAATTAACTAAAATCATTATCATTTTTGCTCTCATAACCGTTACTTATGGACTAACTAGTGCACCTTTTCTAGCTTTGCGTTCATTTATTCAGCTAATACATGATGAAGGACATCGTTTTCCACTAGCTCTTCCTACAGTAAAAAAGGGTCGTTATATGGACGATTTCTTCGGAGGCGCCGACACGATCCAAGAAGCCAAGTCGGTTGT